TAAGTGCTTTCTCTTTCTTCCAACTAAAATTAGCTACAATCTCTCAGCTTGAAATCTGAGTGCACATGGCCATGGGACGCTTAAAGTGAAAGGGATGCTGAAGGTATTTCACGCATTGCCAAATTGCCGAAACAAGAGGTGGTGTTTCCAGACATAGGTTGTGAGTAAAGCTAAAGACGCTGTATTATTCACATGGAACCAATAAAAAAAACCTCCACAAGGCAACTTACTGGTCTTTGATTACTTTCAAGAAAGAAAAAAATATTAACCCTATAAATCTTCTGAGATTCCAAGAAAATGCATAAGAGATTATTTAAAGTATTTCTGGCGCCAAACAAAAGTTAGTCACTAGTGCTGTTTATAGATGGATGACCATAGACTAAGGTTTTTTGCATTAAAAAACAAACAACTGCAACTGTCAGAAACAGGATTCTCCAACCTGAGTATTTCAATCCCAATCTCGACATTGAATTTTAACACCACTACAACACTTTCCAGGCATATATGAGAAAGTGAACAGGCTGAAAAGTGGAAACTTTTCAAAGTAAAAAGTGAAAAGGAAGAATAGGTTCTCTACGGAGTCTAGTAAAGTAACAGTATCACGAGTAAAAAGTATGATAAATAACATAAAAAGACTGCAAAAAAGCAAATAATTCAGTAAGAAGTATCACTACCCACCAATATTTGATCAGACGTTTCGTAACAAAAACTAATTGTTAGGTGAAATGCTCTACAAGATTTTTCAAAACATGAATATGTTAATTTAAAAATTGTTGAGTGAAATAAACCCCTATTATTTATACTTCATTATTCTCAAAGCAAGAAATTAAAAAATTTTGCAACAAATTGATATTCAAGCTAGAATTATGAAACCATACAATATGAAATCCTTGCCTTTGTATTGTGTAAATCTGAAAATGTTTGTGCTACTTATTTATGAATGTTGAGTGCTCAGAAAGGATGTTTGCATCGGAGCACTTGCGTTTTTAAAATAGTGTTATAAGAGCATACATAAAAACAAATGGTGCTGCAGAATGGCACAGACTTTGCTGTACTATTTAGTATATCTCAGTCTGGGCTACCTTCTTGATATTGCCCCAGACTCTTCTCAGCTATTACCTAACAGCATTTGAAAACATTTTTTCACATTTTTCTTAATTTAAAAAACATATATTTGATGGTTGGTGGTGGTTACCTGAATTAAAGGCATGACAATAACTTTGGGCTGATCAAATCAGGGACAATTGCTTACTAACATAGATAATTATGTTGTGATTGATTTTCTATGGCTTCAGATTTTGTATGAATGCTAATACTAAAACTGCAAAAAAGGTGGTATATACTGCGAAACAAAATTTTAGAGATAAAACATACCAACATCCTACTAACTTATTTTGTACATTACTGTATCATTACTAAATAAATTTTAAATTAAATTGTGTGTAATAACTAATAATATTATCCCCAAAGTACATAACAAATATATCTACATCATTGTTAGCTCCATGATTTTAAATAGTCTCGCATTGTATAATAAGTGATTGTTAGTTGTTAGTTTAGTTATAATAGATTATTGTTATTATTAGTCTGTGGGAACAACTACTTTGCATGGGAAGCAAGAATGCAACTAATGGAGCATAGAACAGAATAACATTACGCGAATAGTATTGGTGTAATGAAAATAAGCGAATATAAACATATTGTCAGGTTTTACCACAAGTTGTAAACTTGTGTGGGGCTCATGCATCATTGAACAAAAAAATATTAAGTAGTCTGATATAATGAAAATAACCAAATATAAAAATACTAGTGGAACCCAGATGTCCTGCCTAGCATCAATGAAAAAAAATGTGGATCTCAGTTGGAATGGAAAATGAATTAAAATGAAGCGCTATCTTTTGCTGCAATGCCATCTAGTGGAGTTACAACAAAATGAACATTATAAAAGTATTCTCCATGATAACACGAAGATATTACCAACTTTTAAGGAGATTAGTCACATGGAATCGAAGTTCATGGAATTGTAAATATATAGATAGATAGACTGTTGGTAAAACTTATACTGAATTAAAATTGCAAATATGAAATCAAATTTGGTGACATTGGAAAAAAGTGTAATTTCGGGATTTTTTGAGATTTTTCAGATGTCTGGACCCGTGAGTCCACTGTTAAATCCACCTTGTTTAGATGTAATGGCAATTTAAATATGTATATTAATTTATAGTGTCAAAAAATGTCTTTCACATGCTCTTTTTCTATAAGATAACAATAAAGCATGCTTCATGCCGCAAGTCAGTCAACACTGCCAGTCATTACACGAGTGCTGTACTGGGGCAATCCCATGGGTAACCCTTAAACCTCATTCTTTATCTTCTAAACACTCTGGTGTTACGATATAAACAGGGTCAAGACTCATTCTTACTGAGGCAACCACCTCAACAAAGAAGAGATTCTAACCAAGAAGCCACCTCAACACTGTTAGTAGGGAAGATTGACATCTCATTTCACAACTACCTTTCAGTGGTTACCATACTGCCTCCTTGTCATTTTTTCAAAATTGAAATTTTGGAAATTTTATTGAGAAATATTGTATGTTTATATGCAAACTAGATATACAGAAAATTTACAAGGAATGAAGTGAGACTAGCAAAATAAAAACTAAATCTGAACTCACCAGCAAAAGGCATTGTCCCTGTGCTCATTTTTTTGGGTGCCTTTCTGTTGAACCCAAATGACAATCCTTGACCACCACCTTGTTTAGTCATGGAGAAAGCAAGTAAGCGTTTCTTAGCTTGAACCTTTCCCAATACAGTGGTTCTTGTCCCTTTTGATCCCAGTGATGCGGGAACCAAAGGAGATCCATGACGTGGGGTGGATTCTTGGTCAGGTTGATCATCTTTACCAGTATCATCATCTCCAGTCACACGACTTGGTGAATATCTGAAAATAACAGCTTTGATAATGCTTGGTGAATCAATGTAGTTGAATATTTAAATTATATCATGCAACAAACAGCGAGATGAATATCTAGAACAGAATTCTTAATACATTAATTCAATGTGAATAAATATGTTTTATGGTAATTAGTGATTCCAAAAATTAAAAATAAAATTCATGCAACAATATAAATTTGCAAGGAATATAAATATTATTATAGTTTTTACATGCACTTATAAATAATTAAATATCAAAAAGTTATAATACTATACTATATTTAGGATGTCTTTCTCTGTAAATATGGTGAAATGAGTAACATTACATTTCAATATTAGTGGTGTATGTAGATACAGCAGAAAACAAGACTGACAGTGCCTGAAATACTAATGATTACTAGAGCTATCACATTATGAAATACTGCAAGATAATGAAACACAGACTATCACAGTAAATATTTAATCAAAATCAATCTATCATTCTTGAAAAAATGTTATCTTTAAATAGATGTTTAAATTAAGAGGTTTTTCTGCAGTGTCTCAATGTTCATAGATACTACTGCTACTCAATATCTCGCAAATCAGATGAGTGAAAAACGATATAATATGGAGTTGCTTAGAGAATACTCAGTACTTTTAACCATTCCATAAATAAACAGTCATGAAAATTCGATAATTATTATTATGAAGCATGTCAATTTGAAAACAGCAAATAATAATATCTACAACAAAAAATAAAACTGTCTGGAATAAATATGTCATAAAAATACCAAAAAGAAAAAAATAATGTAATTCAAATAAAAATTAATTGCTTCTAAACCTAGCAAATACACTTTAAATATCTCATTATGATTGCAGTAAGAAGTAATTTGATACCATTGCATCTTGCAACTTGTATGGCGAAAGTTCAATTACAGGAGCAGCAGTAAGACTTTGTGTTGGAATAGAAAACCTGAACAAAATCCTCCTTCCTTTTCTTGGGACTGTTCAAGCACACCTAGTTAATTTCAATCTCATCATCATTAATACTATTATTATTCTGACTATGGACATTGTTACCATATTAGATTCCTATAACATCACTGGCTGGGAGGTCACCCCAAACATTTTTACATACAGCCAGTGTACATAATGAAAGATCTTCTAATTTTACTATTTACTATTAATATAAACAATGCATTCACTAAATTAAATCTACCATCCAACATACTTTTGAGCAAACACTAATAACATGGAGCACAGCTTTAGCTGCCTTGGAAGACTCAAAACTAGGCACTTACAAAACAGCTTAACACAAAAATTATAGAACAATATTATCTGACACACATCAGGATTTGCTGGCCTCTTTCAACCTATGTCTATAAGCAGCCGGATTTATTGCAGCTAATGACTGTTGCAGAACAATATTTAGTCCAATCAGCAATACAAAATAAGTGAAATAGGTTAAGATAATTCACTAGTGCTTATGTTAATATAAGGAACTATTTTTCCATGTTGAATTGTTTTTCAAGTTTATTGTCAGAGTATATTATTAAATTCATGAATAGCTTCAACACAACTTCACCTTTTTAAATCTATCATGGGCCTCGTTAACTTCAATAAATGAATACAAAACGTGTGTTCTCAACTAAAATTCTGCAGAACTACAAGTATTTATATTGCTTCCTTTAACATTTCCCTATCTCCACCAATTTTACATGCCAGACTCTCATGATAGATTCTTATACTTTTGTTACATATTGTGTAGTACTCTAAGAACCATTTTCATTAGTCATCCACAATTGAAATTATAAATAACTCTTAATAAATATTATTACTATAATCGTTGTTTATTAATCATCACTAATACATTATGTTGCACACATTCACGGCATAACTACCTCAATTAGAAATTAAGAGAAGTTGTCATGTTGCATAAGTAGTAAATTAATAGGAATTAGAAAAATTAGGACATTCAATTGAAAAATTCTTGATGACTATCATAAAAATTGCATTAAGAATCTCACTGGCTGCAAGCTCCAGCTACTTTTAAAATAGCAACCTGCTAATGTTTTGATTCAATTATTCTTAGATTACATACCGATTGGAATCTTCACCATCAACAGAGCCTGGGGGTAACGGAGGTGGCGAAGAACACAAGTTCTTGCTTTCTTCAACTTTTGATCGAGGTGGTAACTGTACAGTACGTGGAGATGGTAAAGGAATGTTGTGAGGAGAAGAGATGTCCACTGACTCTAGTTCTGTTGAATGTTTGGCAAGTTGTGGATCTGGTTCACCAGGAAGCGGAATATCCATTGTGTCACCTATAATACATCAATGTATATGTAATGACTAACATGTAGGAAATGCATCAACACCTAAAGAACATAAATGTAAATACATACCTTTGTATGAGTCTTCTGCACATCAGTGATCCGGCTTCACACAACTTACTTGTAACACATTCATTTCACTCCTGAAATCCAAGAGGTTTCAGCGACGTCCTAGTTCAGACTATACAGAGCTTTTTATGACACCGAACATTAGAGGTTTGTTTAGTTAGAAGTTAATAAATTATGTTGAGAACACGTTTAACAAGTGTATTTGTACCATTTTCATGGCACGATAAACAAGCACAGATCCGCCATTAACCTCCTCACCGCCTTCTTCACTGTCTATAGTGTCTATATAAAACGCTGTGATATGATCGTCAGTCTTGAGTAAAATTGACTTCACGCAACGATTTGATCTTAGAAAATATGCGATTCGAAGTATATCTGAAGCATTGCAAATTCATGTCCATAAATTTGAACCTCAGAAAAAAACCATTTTGCAGTCATTTTACTCGATTGAGCGTTTATTCGCGTTTTGCTGTAAAATATTTTTGTGATTTTTTTTGTTGGACATACTGTTTCAAAGAATCTACAATTTCATGGTTTTGCATGTTTATATTTACTCATTAAGAAAATGAGTACTGAATGCGGTACGATTCAAATGAAAACCGCGTAAACAGCCCAATATAGCTGCTGAATAACAGGCTTTCTTAGGCGGAAGTGAATCATAAAATAGTGAAATATATTATCAACAACAATTAAAAATACAATGTATGTATTTTTGTTTTGTTGAGCAAATTTTGTAGCATACGAAAGTGAGACCAAGTCATTACATCATCCGAATAGCTCGAACCTTTGGAAAATGATTTATTTGAATTGTAATCAATTGCCTTCATCAGGCCATTTGGCTTCAGCTGTAAATTGTGTGATATTTGATAATGTGAAAACTGAGTATAGAGGAGATGAAGACATCACAATTGAATATATCCTTGATTCTGATGTAAGTTTCTTGTTATTGTCGATTGTCGTAGTTATATCTTTTAACCATTAAATTTGACATTTAAAAAATATTACAATTTATATGAGTTCAGTGTGGTGATACTTTTATCTATTTCATTTAATTTATCAGTTTCATATGTACAAATTGTTGTGCAGACTTATAGAGGAAATTGTATCTATTTAGACAGATTTCTCAATTACATTCTTATTACAATTCTTAATATTTTTTAAACAAATCGTAATGGGAATGTTCATTTGAAATACAGTCAATATGTGGTAAGTGATGTAAAAATTTAAGTAAAATTACAAGAATTGTTGGTATTGGATGGCAAGGTGTGGCTCCAGTTGGATTGTCACTGTTTTACAGTATCAAGCCTAGTCTGTCTAGCAATTAATTTAAATTACAATGGGAATTATATTATTTTATACATTAACTTAATTTTTTTCACCCAACCAGGAACTCACGTAGTTTTGAATTGCATATTAAAAATATATGTAAATTATTACAATAAACATTTAATTAATTTAAATTATAGCAAAAAATAAATTCAATTACATTAATTTTCAGTAATAATTCAAATAATTTACTTGATAAATTATATGAATAAAAAAACATGTAAGTGATTACAATAAACATTACAATATTTTACTTTATTTTAAATTCCACAAAAGTCTCATTAATAAATCAAAAATTACATTAATAAACTAAAAAATTATGATTCTGTGGAAAATGTATTGTGTTACAATAAGAGTGAGTAATTTCATTATCTTACAGAAGTTATTTAATTACTTACAATAACTTAAATACATTAGATGTTAATTATAAAAGTAAGGGTTTACAATACTTACTACTACTTACAGTAGTCGCTCATTCAGCAGTAGTTAGTTAATAATTATAGAAAAGTTATAGCAATTCAGAAATCTTGTTTGGACCACCCAAATAAAGTGATGTTTAAACAATGTTTTGAAGTGTTTATTATCAGCTGATTTTATGGTAACTGGGATATTATTAAACAGCTGTGCAGCAATGCAGAATGGATCTTTGTTAGTTGAAGACTTGCTAGTGTGTATCCTGTGAGAGTCTATTTCCTTTAGTACAATAGTAACTACCTAATATATAGTATTTTATATTATTCATACCAAGACTTTTGAATTTATTGATAAAATATTTAAATAATTCCCCCAGAAGGAAGTTGTGACCCTTTTCCCATTCTAAAAAGATGGTCGTTTTGGTGCTCATGAGGTTTATCTTCATGAATAATTTACATTGGCATAATTTTTATTATAATGTCGCATTGTTCAGGAAATTATAATCTTTCATTTGTACTCCTGTAATGTTAAGTGTCCATTCACTCATTATTAATCTGTGCAGACTGAACCATCATCAAGAAATTGGATTGGACTCTATCCAAAAGGTGCTACACAGTTGGATCAATATGTTACATTTGAGTGGACTATTGTTAACCCCTCCAATGAATACCTCAAGCAACATAAAATTACTTTCCATGCGAAGTATCACATGAAAAGTGTTGAAGCAGATAAAGAATACTTTTTTATATTTGTGAACAAGCAAATGAAGGTAAAACCTTAAGTAGCATATCTTCATGTTGAAAACAGTCCTTTATATCCATTTCATTAGAATTTCTCATCCTGAAATAATTGTTAATATAATCTTAAAATTAATTATTATATTTGTATGAAATGGTAAAAATATTGTTTAATTTTTAAGTATTTGTATATTGATTAATACAATTTTGTTTCAGGTTATAGGTTCAAGCTCTTACTTTGGTTTTCTCTTTTATCACACTTTAGAAATTGATGATCTAAAAGTTCCAGAAAAAGTTGGAACACGTGGCAGTTCTACACCTGAGGTACCAATGGAATTTTAAAGTTATGTTTCACTCCTCCAATTTACAATAATGTTTGATCAACCATGTATTTCTCTTTCAGTCTCTTAAGAGCCTTTCTGAGGAAAACGTCTTGAAAGATGGGATTGACAAGGAAATTTTACAAGAACTTCATTATCACACTACTCATCTTAAGCACAAACAACATATGCAATTGTCAAGTACACATACAAGTGACAGCATCTCTCAAAATATATCTGGTTTTAAAGCTGACGTCACACTTACTAGCCCTGATTTTCCTGTCTCCAATAATTCCAGTCTGAGTAATAACAACAATAATTTCTGTGCATTGTGTAAACGTCCTTCTAATTTTGCTGAGATTGAGCAAAGACTGAATGCTAAGGTAATTTATTGTAATTAGTGTATCTAAAAACAATGATTTTTTATTTATATCGAATTTAAAAATAATTTAATCAATAAAATGATGTGTTTTTAAACAAACTGTTAAAAACTTTTTTTTTAACTTTTTTTTTTAACTATTTTTAATTTTTAAACATAATTTAAGATTTATTTTTTCCTTCTAGATCAAGATGTATGCAGAATATGGTCATACCTTAGAGAAAAGAATAGAAGAATTGGAAAAAAATTTTGAGATGAGTCAAGTAGCCCAAAAGCAGCTTAAATTAATTGCCTACCATGCGAAACGTGAAAAAACATCATACCAAAAATTTGTCAATGAAATGTTGTCGGTTTTAACTAGTAAAGGTGCTGTTCGAATATTAGATGGACATGGAACAGAGGTATAGTAAAAGATTATTACTCCTGTTTGTGAATACATTTTTTAATCCAAACAAAAGTGTTTCATAAAATGTTCAAATTAAAGAGTGCATTTTAGTGATTACAAACTTAACATTGTTTTATCATTAAGTTAGCTGAATTGCATAATTATGCTCTATGAAATCATGGAAGTTAAGCAATGCTAGTCACCACAGATTCCCAGATGGGTAGCCATCGGACCCTGTTTACTAACAGTGCTGAGCCCCTGAGGGATAAAAGGCATTGGCTGACTGTAGCATTATGAGACAAATGACAAATAACTTAACGGGGGATTACACCAAATATATATATATATATATATATATATATATATATAAAAAAAGTGTGCTTATGAGTATGTGAAAATATATGATAAAGATTGAAATTTAATCAAAAGCGAGTGATGCTTGGATTGACTTTTTTTTCGCAAGTCTGTTTTATTTTTTAGGATAAAATTCATATCAATACAAAACAAATGAATGCTATGGAGAAGTTCGATTCAGCTCTTCCTGCAATTGCACCTTTAAAGCCAGATCTAGAGAAGGATGAAGCCAAGAAGAGACCTGATGAAAATGTTAATGTTGCGTTAAATGAATCTCTTGGAAACACATCTGATAATCATGAACTAAATGAAACCTATTCTATTGACAACTTGGTTGGTGAACCAGTAAGTGTAATTCTTCCACTAAGTGATTACAGGCAGACAAAGAATCAGAGTTATGAAGAAAGCAGAAACAGCTTTGCCAGTTTAAATGATGGTCAAGGTGATTTCCACTATAAATCTCTATCATCCAAAGAAAATATACATGACATAAAAGAAAATGTCATGAAAGAATTAAGGAATGCAATACGCAAAAGGCAAGATAAATCAGAAAAGTTTAAAAGTGATCCTTGTCATGCCATATCCAATGAATCCTTTAATTTATCCATCAATGAAACTGTTCAAAGTACAAGTGTTGAAGAGCCTAATGCTTTAATTATTAAAGGTGAACGTTTACAGTATGCTATAATTCGGTAAGTATGTTTTTCCCTAATGTCCTATCTCTAAATAAGTGTTTACTCCATTTTAATTAGTTCTGAATTCTGGAAGTCAGTGTTCATTCTGGTTGACAAATTAAGTATATTGAAACATTTGAGTTTGGCTGTTTGTGTACTGTTATATGCTGCTCTATTATTAAGTTTGTCAGAATTTTCATGAATTGTGTCATTGCAAACATGGGAACAAAAAATTTTCTTTGCAGAATCCAGCAGTCTTCTTAGAAATATGAAAATTTCCACAAGGGAAAAATAAGAAGAAAAAAAATGTGTTTGATCATTACGTATATTTTCCATATATATTTGTTCTGTGATAATTTTATAATGCAGAAATGTTGCAGTGTATGTATAAGCTTTTGTAGACACTATATACGAAATATATTATTGTCAATAAAGTAAATGAAGTATTGATTTTGAACACATTTTATTCAGGAAGTTAAAACTCAAGTTTGCAACAGCCTCAATTTTTTTAATGTGTTTCAGTTTGTGTTCATCCTTACGATTTCATTACCCTAACATTTGTGATGAATAAAATTAATTTTGATTAACATTTAAAAAAATTTATGAGTAGTTTTTAGAATAGAATTAGCAGAAGCAAATGTTGAGTACTTTACATACAATTATAACATTTTACAGAAAAGTATAATTTAATTAATTTCATGGTACAAACTTCTTTTTCATTACGGAGAATTAATATATTTAATTTACCATATTAGAGATAAATTTAAATTTGTCATCACAACTTGTTAAAATGTAAACATTTTTATTGTTAGGAACTCTATCCAATCAAGATATTACTTCCTTGCTACATAAAAATTTGGTTTACGAATAATTTTACTGCATATACTCTTTTTATATTTTGCTCCTATATTTTGTATATGCTGATTAGAGATGTTATTGAACCTACATGAAGTTTATTGACAGGAAAAACTACCTCTGCCTTGCACCTCTGCACTACCCTGGCAAATTTCCAAGCCAAGCTGCCTATAAATAGATCAGCTGTTGTTCAAGGAGCAGATCTAGAAATAGCATCAACCCTGGGCAGTGTTGGGTGTAGTACTGCTGCTCACCAAATGTTCCTTGTTGAGAGCCAAGTTTTTTCTTTGTGTATGGATTCTATAAAGTTATTAATTATGCAATGAATCAGCTTGATATTCAATTATGTTATTTGAAATTAATTTCAACAGCATATATTTTTTAATTAATATTCTAAGTAACAGTGACTAAAGAACATCCCTATTAGAGTTCAAAATATAAAATTATGCTGAATTAATGCAAATGTAATAGGTAAGTATTCAAGTTTTTCAATTAAAAAATTAGAAAATTATAAGAGAGAAAAATTACAAACATTTTCTTCCGAGACAAAAATAGATCAAGGGAGACATTTTGGTACTTGGCACACTATCTCCCCAAGTGACGTAGCAGTCACGTTGGTGAGGGATGTTGGAGTTTCTCATGAGTAAACGTTTCTAGGGAAGCCAGTAACGAACGAAGTGGTGCACGAGTCAGTCACTCTGATACAAGAAAGAACAGTAAGTGAACATGTGTTGATTTTAAGGCAACTTGAAGATTTTGCTATTAATTTTACTTTTAAAGGGCTGTTATTAGTCTCTTTGTGTATATGATAATGATGCTCACAAGTTGATTGTGTTCTTAAGTTTTGTAAATATTAGTTAAATATGATTTTCTATCAAAGTCAATTTTTCGTTTGCTGAAATGATTATATATGTGTAAGAAGTAAAAAAAAATATATTTTTTTTAGTTGACTGTCGAATTGTAATAATATGTTGAAATGAAGAAGTAAAATAAAAGTATTGCATTATTATATTTGTTTTTGCTGCATAAATAGGGAACATTGGACTGAGCTGTACAAAGTTAAAATGGGTGCTGCAGGGAGTGTTCAGTCAAATGAAGTGAACTCAGATCCATCATTGTCTCCTCACTCTTTGCCTCAGCAATCTGCATCAGATGTATGTACCTCTCTAGACATTCATTTCCCATTTTCTTCACCAATGTTTATTTCGAATATTGTAGGTCTGTGTTTAAATATATAAAACAATCCTTTTTTGATTTTCATGTTTACCACAAGATAATTTTGTTTGTGTTTTTGTGCCAACTGAGTTTTATTCAATACATGAAATGAATGTCAAGCTTGCATAACAAAAAATTATCTCATAGCATGACTTATTATTAATAGTTCTAAAACTAATGTCCATTATCATTTATACAGTTTTGATTTAGTATATTGTTTTAAATATTTTGAATGACGTAACATGTAGGAAATGATCAAGAATGTAAAAGTATGTTTGTTTGTTTTTAAAATATATTTTCCAAGTTTGTACTTGGAACCTATCCTCCTGATTCAATGAAATGATTATTTTCTGCATTTTCTTTATGGATTCAAAGTATTCTTAATTATATACATATATCTTATTTCAGGGATTGCCAGATGATACTAGAGCCACACAGACAAACACAGAAACTAATCATAAAGAAGTAAGAGCTATTGGGGAGGAATTGTGGTTGAAACAAATCCAAGATTTGGGGAAAATAGTTCAGAATTTAGCTAGTGAAAATTTAAAATTGATTGATTCTAATAGAGAATTGAAACAGAAATGTGAACAGCAAGAAAGTGTTTTAAATGAAAGAAACAGTTGTGAAAAAGATAAAAAAGAAGAAATTGACGAAAACCTACAGATGGTAACAAACTTACAAGAAGAAGCAGCTAATGACAAAAAATTAATTGAAGATTTAAAACAACAGTTGCAAACAAATACTGAGAATAATGCAATTGAAGTTGAAAAATATCATGAAAATTTAAATTTCATGCGTATGAAAGTAAAGGAGTATGAACAAGTGGTTGAAAAACTTGAAAAAAATGCAGTGGTTCAGAATGATGCTATACAGTCTCTTCAAAGTACTATTTCATCTGTAGATTGTCAAGGAAATTTGGTTGAACAAAATGCATCAGAAATGAAGGATACAATTGAAGCATTAAAACAAAGTCATGAGGTCTGTCAACAAGAAAAAAAAGATCTGGAAGAGCAACTAGAAGAAGAGAGAAACTTAAGAAGAAAAATCAGTGATGAAAAACAGAAACTTCAAGAAGAGTTTGTACAAATTAAACAAACAATGCGTTTGAATGTAGTGAAAAGAACGTCTGAGAATTCTGATGCCGATGGTTCTGACTTGGATATTAATGGAGAACCTGACCAATCTGCATGTGCAAGTGGTTCCAGAAGTGAAGAAGCTAGAGCCCTGAGTCCACGAGCTGCTGCTGAACTTCAAGTATTTCAGAAGCAGATGAAAGTTAAGAGAGAAGCTCGACACAAGGCATTATCTGCCATATCAATGGAAATGGAGAGATTGAGAAGGGAATTAAATAATGAAAGAGAAGTAAGACACAAAGCTGTAAAAGAATTAGAGGATGCCAGAAATATCTCTGACCCACATCACATATTTGAAGAAGTGAATGCTTTAAGACATAAATTAACATCAGAACAACAAGAAAAAGACAGAATATATAAGGAAATGTTAAAAATACAAAAGGAAGGAAATGAAGAAATTGAAAATATTTTAAAACAATTGGAAAAGGAAAAGACAAAAACAGATCATTTAATGGGAGAAAATAAGTTTTTTAAAGAACAATTGGAGGAGTGTGAACAAAAGCTGGAGTTTCATTCAGAGGAAAACAGACAACTTCAGAATAAGTTTGAAACTGACCGGCAAAAATTTCAGCAGCAAGTGCTAGCTCTTAAAGATGTTGTAGCTATCAGCAAACAAATGTTAACTGTTCGAGAGAATCAAGTGACTCATTTGAAGCAAACTCTGCAAGATGTTGAAGCAACTGTAATTCAGAAACATCATGGATCTTTAACAGCAGAGCTTAGAGCTGAGTACGAAACTCAGATGGAAAATATAAAAGCTTTGAAAGCCTTATATGAAGAGAGAATGCAAGTTATGAATGTTGAGAAAGAAAAATTAGTTGGTGAACAGAAAGAATTGCAGAGGCTAATAGAAGAAGAGAAAATAATAGTTGAAAATCTGGAAACAAAACTACAGGAGAAGGAAGAAATAATCATGGAGAGAAATGCTACTGTGTCAGATTTGCAAGACCAGTTGTCAGATGCTATTGATCAAAGCAGAAATTTATCATATGAATTAACATTAATCAACAATATGTTTACTCAAATCTTAGGAAGTAGTGAAATGGATTTGGATCGCTTAACAAAATTACTTCAAGAGAATCATGATTTAATTACTGAAATTACTACAAAGGGTGATTGTGAGAGTGAAATAACTGCAAGTCTCCCAAAATTACTTTTAGATCTTGTGTCTCGTGCAGAAAACACTGAAAATATTGCAGGTGACAAAGAGTCTTCAGATCAAATTTCTGATAATGCCTCTTGTTCTACATCAGTCAATGCAGAGCAAAATGAAGCCACAGTACCTTTTGTCAGTGTGAACACAAATGGTAGTCCTCTCGCTATGCAAGATATTTCCTCTAATCTACCTAAAGTATGGAAAGTTCTCCTAGAACTAGTTAGCCATCATGTACCATCTCCTTCAGAAGAGACAGAAGATGACAGTAAAACAAGCTGTTATAAGAGGGTAGATACCCCTCATGGGCCCAAGAATGTTATAAGTGTGAGCAAAACTTTTTTAAGGCTGAGAGATTTAATTTTGCAAAAGAAGTCCTTGCAAAAAGAAGTGACACGTTTAAAACAGCTTAATGTTCACCTAGAAACCAAGTTGAATGATCAAGAAAGGCGTCTATCATTAGTTTCAACTGAATTACGGAAGACTTGGAATGTTGTTGATCATATGCGTGTTCAACATCAACAGCTTCATACTCATGAGAAAGTTCTTCGATATGAGTTACAAGAGAAGCGTAAGTTATTGATGGAACTTAAAGAAGAACTAGAGTATTGCAGAGAAAAATGGGAGGATGCGAGACAAAAGAATTCACAATCTGAAACTGAATGGCAGAAATTAAGGAAGGAGTTTGCTTTAAGAAAGAATAAACCTCTGAATAATTCTGGAGAAAGTGGATTTTCAGAAGAAAAAGATGATGATAATTCTGACAATGATGGTACAAAGATGCAGACTCAAAGAAAAAGTTCAAATAGTGGATTTACTGACTCTCAGAAGAGAGACTCTACTGATCAAAGTGTTACAAAGTCAGAAGATCCAGAAGCTGTTAACAGTTCTGCCTCATCTCTTCCAGACCTTGTTGCAGTAACAGCAGACCTTTCCCTTCCTCCAACCAATGTTGCAGGTTCAATAGGTGCCATTCCATCAAATGAAATTATTGGAAGAAATAATGATTCAATATTGGAAAACATTGTGCAAGATACATTCTCTCTTGATAGTGATAGCAGTGGACCTCCTATTTTAGAGCCATCTCTTCTGGAGGAATGTCCAACAGTATCTCTTATCACCCTGTTAAAACAACAGTTATCATGTTTTTCAAAAAATCTTGATATTATTACTACTGGTTTTGATACAAATGATCATTTTAGAGCTTTGCAGTCCATTTTTGCTCTTCCTGCTATTCAGATACCAGAAAATCTCAATCCTCCTGTTGAGCCTGGAACATCGTATCTTCAGAAAGCTAGAGCTTCAATTGACAGAGGAATCCAAGTGACAGAAGAATGCCATGATAAAGTAAATGAGTCAGAAGTGTCTGTCTGTGAAATAGATTCACCACATTTCTCAAAAAGTGATGAAGTATTTCAAAAACATGGAAAAAGCATAACAAATTCTGTTGAAACTCCATCCTCTTCAAGTAGTATTTCACAGCCTCATTCTACAGTAGGTCAGGAAAATGTTTCTTCTCCAGCATCAGAAGCAGAATGTCCCAGAGAAGAAAGTTGCTTGGAAAGTACTGATGCTTGCTCGAATTCCGAGAACAGTAATTCAGAAAGCCGATCAGAACGTTTACAACGAATGGAAAGGCAATGTCAACAGTTATTTGATAAAGTTACTCGTAGATCAGAAACAAGTCGTTTCACTTCTGATGAACCAAAAGATCAAAATAAATCTCAAGAAAATTCTGATGGGCCTGCAAGAAACTTCGAGGATATGCTTGATGCTCGAGCAGCTAGACTGAAAAGGTTAGAAGAACAGTCTCAGCAACTTTTCAAAAAAGTTACAAGAACCACACATCGAAGTACAGAATTGTCAAACAGACTTGAAGAATTACATGAACAGTATGGTAGTGAAGATATTCCTGGAAGCACAACAGTAGATAACACTCCCCAAAACATGCCAAGCGATTCAATATTAAGAGAAGTACCTATCCCAACAAATGATCAAAAACTGTCAGATCAAGCAACTTCTGATACTTCAGAAGATCTCGCCATTTCCCTTCCTGGACCCTCTGTTTCTCACATACCTCCTCCATCTCTTGAAGATAAGTTAGATGCTCGTGCAGCAAGGCTCAAGAGATTGGAAGAACAATCACAACAGCTGTTCAATAAAGTTACCAAAACCACACAGCGCAGTACAGAATTGTCAAACCGACTTGAAGAACTTCATGAACAGTACAATAATGAAGAGGCAGAAGGAAATGCTCTTTCTTTACCTGAAGGAAACAGTTCTTTAGTAAGTGATATACCTAAACCTCCTCCCTTTCCTGACCATCTTCAAGCAAATTTGCTAGTTTCAGCAAGGACAGTAGAAAACGAAAAAGTCGTGCAGACTGAAACCGCCTGTTCCACATCTAGTTCTTCCTCTCACATTCCCTCTCCTCCGTCTCTAGAAGGTCTGTTGGATGCACGAGCTGCCAGATTGAAAAGATTAGAAGAACAGTCTCAACAACTTTTCAAGAAAGTGAAGAGAACAACACATCGTAGCACTGAATTATCAAATCGATTAGAACAACTGCATGACCAGTATGGAAGTGAAGATTCTACAGGAAGTGTGACACACCACTCCACAAATAGTATTCCACCTCCTCCTCCTTTACCAGAACACTTAGGGGCTATGAGACTACCAACTACTTGCCTTCCTTCTTCTTCAAGCCACATTCCTACTCCTCCTCCTCTGCCAGAAAACCTTCCATCAGTTCGCCTACCAGCAAAAATGGATCAACCCACAAGTTCTAACAATGAAGAACAGGACGTATGTGATGAAGAAAAGGAACAAAGATAGTGCGTTATTTTGTATCAATGTAAATATGTACATATATTGATATGTGTAACAGGAAATGACATTTTTTAATTGGTTTAAATTGACGAAGCACAGTATTATATTGTTGCACACAGTGCCAGGTGCTGCTGGTATTTGAAATAAATATTGTTTTTATCAAGTTGCATGACACTTAAGATTCATGTAATCATGGTTAATGAACTATTGAAAGAAATGAATAATTTTGCACTTATTATATTCATAATAAAGACAACAATGTGTATTCCTATTAGGTTGTCATTAATGTAAGTGCAATTATTAATTGTAATTTAAATGATTTATTTTGGTATATGTCAAGAATGAGGGAATTTATTTCAATAATTATTTGTATTTCTGAATTGAAATTATATTTAAAATTACAATGTATTTTTATGTTCTCAAAATGAGTTCAATATATTTTATAATTATTAATAATGTTGCATTTCATATTCTTTCTTATATTCTGTATCCTTCTTGAAAATGATTATCTCCATGCAAAGCCACAATTCTATTCTAAAAATCTATTATCTTTTTAATAAAACAGTGCAACGTACAAATTGAATGTCAGTTGTACTGTTTTTTGACTAGTATTTGACAAAGGTAATTCCCATCATAAAAAAGGAATTTTAAAATGATTTCAAGTTTGTTTGTTATCACATTAGAAATAATAGACACTTTCCATGCATCCATGTTTCTAAGTGTTCCTGGTTGATCTGCTTTTTATAATAATAAAATAATAATAATTATTATTAATTATTATTATTATACTTTTAGAACATTATTCTTATTAATCAAAAAAGAAGAAAAGTTATTATCCCTCATTGTAATTAATGTCTGGTACTCTACACTTCACTTTTTTTCCTCCATTTCCTAATTTTTACTTTCCCTTCCTATACTATAATACAAGGAGAAAATGTATTGACATCACCTCAACAATAGAATCTCATATTTGTATTGCAAAATCAGTTTACTATGTTCTTTTGAGCTGTAACTTCACTCATATGTTAGGATTAAGGTATATTACTGCAGTCCCTAAGATGCTTAGGATTGGTGTACGTGGCAAACACAATTTTGTACTGGAAAATTGGGATATCTAAATGGATGGATGTGAAATGCACAACTCTATCAGATTAGAAGCTTTTCAGCTGAAACTTAGTAAATATATTAAGAGTAAAATTTAGTTGTGCTGTTCAAGAGATCATTAAAATATTTTAATTTTTGGGGGTACTTGTCATGAAGCTCCTGTGACATTTTCAAAAATTTCTGGAAAATGGGTGAAAAATTTTTCTGTAAATTTTTTGCTAGACTAGAAGAGAAACAATGAAATTTATTCACATGCATTCAAACAATGAAATAGTCCTAATTTTCATTAAAAATTGAAATTTAGAAACTTGCAATTTTTTTTTTTTTCAAACCTGTTCTACAGCTCTGGCATAAATACTACAGATTTATTCCTCACTGCAATTTATCCCTTAATTTTAGATCTTTGAATGATGTCATGTCTTTTTAAAACAAACATGAGTAGTTATTGAGTAATAATTACCTAGTGACACCAAGAGAAGGAAATGCTGCACATTCCCATTAGTTGTGTAAAGCTCAATATTTTAATTTGATATGAAAAGGTATTTGAAGTGGACACAGAACATTAAAATTAAATTAGATTTTATTAAAAAAGCGGACATCAAGTCCCTTAATTATTTACAATATATACAATAATGAATCTTGTAATGACTATTTAAAGTAATTGAACACTTTGCACAAGATATGAAAATTACATTATTCCTTACGGAAGCAGTGGCTGACTAACATTACAACATGATTGAGCAAATAAATTCATCTGTACAGAATTCTTCTCACTTTTCTTACCAACTTATGTTCATATATTCACAAACACTTTTAATTTACACTTCATTCTTCCCTTTATTTACACACATTTATAACAGTATGATTTTAATTATCGCCGTTTATTTTATCTTTACTTTAATCTGCAGCACTTTCATACATTTTAATGTCCAGAAGCAGACTGACAGAATGAAAAATAACTGCAGGATTGAAAGTTTCAAATCTCCTGCAACTTCAACTTCTTTTTTCTGTATATACATTATGAACATCAGGCAACGTGCCAGCTCAAATACACAGGCATTTGGATGGTTATCAAATAACATACCAATTGTTGTTAATGATAAGAGAATATATGCAACAAATCCCAATACAGCAAATGGATTCATGCCCTTGAAACAAAAAAGAAAAAGTGTTACATAGCCAAAACATTAGAAATTTATCACTATTGAGAATCAATAAGTAAAAGAACATTTGTACAAAAATCTCTTACCATATATTGTACTGTCAGTTCTTGAAATCCTATTGTAACAGCAATGAAATGGAGGGTCAAATATATATTGCACCACATTGGAAGTTTGACATCATATTTTTCTCGTGTTCGAATCTGTCAGAAAGAAAGTTTGATGTAATGAAACTAATTCAAGTGTTTCTTCAAAGACCATGATCCCATATTCTTGATTGTATGCTTTTGAAAGCTAAATGGAGGACTAAAAGTCCAAAATGATGTTAGCCAGCAGGAAGAAGAATTAAGTGCCAAGAAAGTAGAAACTTTGCCCTACCATGACTGATGAAAATTCATAAACATGTTATTGTTAACTTACATCTAATTTATCCTCATCAGCTCCAAGTCTTGGCCTGCCTGGCAGCCAACTAGGTCCTTTCCAAACAGCTGCAAGTTTGTTTTGCCACCCATCCATCTGATGCCATTTTTCTATGACATGATTGTTATAAAATACCTGTAACATTTGACAATATGAATTAATTACGTTTTGCAAAATGTTACGATGCAACAGAAAATTAATAAATTAAACAGAGTATCATAACGAACATAAATACCATACACATTTCATTCTATTGTATTCTACGTACAGTGTTGTGTCAATCGTTGAAATATTATTGTAATATTTCTATTAAATTTTAATTTATCTGCATCTGCTTAATTTATTTTTTTATCAATTTTATTTAAATATTAATAAATTTTAATTTTTTTAAAGTTGAAAATTTTAATAGTATTACAAATAAAATGTAGATTATGATCACACATATTAAGTAGGTACTAGTTTTCAGTAGTACAAATAGTTATTGGAATAATTATTTACATTCATCCTCTACTAAAGGCATTGGATATATTAGTGAAATTCAACTGCATAATGTGAATACACAATGGTCTTTCATTTCAGGTAATTTATTTCAAGTGGCCTGGAACTTACTTGCAAATACAGCGGATTAAATGTTGGTTGATTGTACACCAATCCATATATTATTTCTTCCTTTTCTCGTTCTTCAGCAAAAGTTCCAAAAAGTCTGTCCCAAATAATAAGGAAGCCTCCATAGTTTTTATCCAAGCAATATAAATTGCAACCTATGTTTTTTTGTTTTTATTTGAGCATCATCGTGAAGAAAAACAAAACAAAACAAAAAAACAGCTTTTAGAGTAGAATATTAGCCATCTAAAGTGCTTTAAATATTAGGTGAAATAAAAGGCTGTTTGAAAAAGGACACAAATAACATGAAAAAAGCTTCTTATGATACAATATGTAGATATTTGTATGATACAAGGATAGTTATAGCTTGATTTGTAAGAGACATTTCACAAAAAACACTGAATTGCCATGGCTAAATGTGCTTCAATTAGGAAGTGATACCGAGAATTTGTGCAGGTGGATTGTTAGAAATTTATTGTTTCAATAATAAAGAGGTATTTGCAAACTTCATTGATGAAATTGAAGCAGTTGATAAAAGTTTTTATAGTCATTTGTACAAAAAAAAAAAAAAAAATCAAGATTCATGCACTTACCATGATGCACTCTATGATGCTTTGGAGTATTGAAAACCCATTCAAGAGGTCCCAAAGTCTTGACAGTATTTGTATGAATCCAGAATTGATAAAGCAAATTGAATTGTTGATGTGTCAGAAAGAGAGAAGGTGGAATGAATAATGCTAATGGTAGATAGAAAATCTGAAAAAAATTACTCTTATTACATTTTATTCTATTATCAAGAAAACACCAATATCCTTTTATCTTCTGCATTATTTTTTACTTACAAAGCTGCACCATCCTTGAAGAAGTGATTGACGTAAGCCAACAGCCAAATTAAATTCTTCTGAACTATGATGAACTTGGTGTTGTGCCCACAATATATGAACCTCTGGAAATTTAAAAGAAAAACTTATCATATATATTCATTTGTGCTGAAATAGGTAGAAAATAAGTCGTCTTTCCTTAGAAACTATTGAAAACATTCTTCTGATTAACGTAAGAATATTTATATTATATTTCAATTCTCAAAACACATGCTCTCTTAAATATAATGTAATAATATAAGGATGGATCCAAAAAGTGTTTGAGATTATCCACATAATTATTTTTGAGTAAAATTGCAGTAAAATGTTGGAATAGGTAGGAATCAAATCTCAATGGTGTCCTTTTAAATCCCTGTCTGCTTAAACATTGGCACTTACCATGACAAGCTCTGTGGACCCAGTAATAGCAAAAATCAACACCTATTACTGATAGATACCAAGTCACTGGTGAATCCCATGGTAAATCAGTTACACGGAAGTGACTGTAAACGTAGATATATGCTGCATTTTCTGCTCCTCGGAATACAAGCCTAAGAATGAAAATATCCATCAGAGCAATAGAATTGGAATGATGTTTAAACATAAATTGTAAATTTTCATCCAATTAACATAAATCTTGTATATTCATTTTTGGTAAACAGAAACTTGCTCAAAAAGATAGAAATTGGTGTAGAGTTGTGAATTTATGCAATATTTATGAACTTTCTTAGGCAGAAATAAGTAAGGAAACATTTTCTAAATTACAAACATGTAAGAACAAGAAATGTTACAAACCTTCCACATTCTTGAAATAGACCATGAGAAAGAGATGTTATGCCATCATTCAAACGAAGGGTGGGTTTATTTTCCAACCACAATAATATGTTCTCCACTATCAGGAATGCAAGAAAATATGGCCATGCCTGAAATTAAAAAGAACATATATTTATGAACCTTTTATTGGAAGGAGAATGATTACATTGCCATGTTTCTTAAACTTAATTTGTTATTTTCATACATTTCCTTTATTTATTATTTTCATACATTTCCTCAAAACCTCAATAAAATATCGGAATAGCATTATCAATTTATTTTTTTTCCCCTCTTTGAAATGTTGATTTAAGATCCGTTGCCTTTTAGAGTGATATGAACTCTGTTTTCGGAGCACTATTTGATCTAATGGATGAATGCTGGAGGCATTTTTCTAAGTTTTTGAAACATGTGACTTTATTCGGTTAACTCAGCCAAAATAATTGTGACAGTGATATTTGTGCTTTTCCAATTGCTTTGTAGCAGTAGAGACTTTGAAATGGAAGATTGTTGGGGAAATCTAGATTTACCTCACTTTTCTTGAACCGAATGCCTACTAACAAATTTTCTCAAGAGTTTTTAAGATGAAATTTATTCTAACACAATAGAAGCAGTTATATAATAGTACTTTATGAATTTAGTTTATAACTTCACGCTTTATTGCTTGAATGCGTTTTGAAAACTGGCGACGTTGGCAGCGAGTTTTCAAATTTGTACGACTGCAATAAAGCAACATTATGAACGAGTTGCCAACGATTTTTTTTTGTACAACAACATAAAAAAAATTTAAGAGAATCAAACTTAATTTTGCAAAACAACTTTATTGTGATGGCTCGGGTATTTGATATCTGTGCGAGAAAACTGTGGTCGGCTTTTCTGTTAAGATTCTCTCGTTGCTATTGGCTGAACGTGTGATGACGCAATCATTCGTGCCGTAAAATACCAACACCATCTGGAGATATCTATCTCCAGGGGCTGTTAAAAATGCCAGATTACAAAAGATTTCTTACCACAGAAATGTCGTTTGTAATGCTGGCATACAAAAAAGGCATTTTCTGAGATACAAGCATAGAAAATTATTTTATTTATTATCAGCCAACTGCCATTAGCTACTTTGTTTCTTCCACTATCTCAAATGCTTCCACAAATGTATTATAAACGTGGTTTTTATAGCATGGTGGAAAAGGAAATTCGGATGGGGGAGAATCACGAAGCAAAAAGCAAGCAACCCAACATTCTCCCTTGATGATGGCATTACCCCGTCGCGACGCGTGCTGTTTTTCCGGGGCTGGTCGGACGCGCGAGGGTGGCAGTAGGCGGTCGCTGCTCTTGAACTCTACACTCGACCCAGTTAACCGTACAGCCTTGTCCCTGCCCGCGCTCAGGGAGGCGCGACTTCCACCGCATTCCACGGTCGCCTCGACAGGCCATCCGTTCGCTCGAAGCGCAGCGCCGCGCCGCGCCGCGTCGCCCGCCGTCACCCGCGAGGCCGCGCGGAGCCCCGCGGCAGCTCGACGCGACGCGACGTGACGCGACGCGACGCACAATGGGCCGAAATGGGGATTTCAAGTACAGCACCGCGGAGCGAACTGCAACCTCGTCTTTCCCAGCAAGGGCAGGTGCAAGGAAGAATTACAGAGTGGTGGAGATACTGGTGTACGCAGGGTTGGGCAAAATACTTCAAATTTAGTATTTAAATGTAATCAGGTTAAAAGTTTAGAATTTTAGCCAAAGAAATGTACCTGAAAGTGAAGACGCATAGATCTCTGAAATATTGTATATCAAGACTTAATAAACCAACTTTCGTACATTTTATTTACTGAATTCTAAACTTTGACTTGCTTGTCTATAAGAAATGAAACTTTTTTGTTAAAACAAGACAGACAATCTTGACAGACAGACAGACAGTCAATAGAAACTTGATATTATTTAAATACGTAGTACTCAAAACACATTAGGTTTTGACTTGTTAAATATGTAGGGCTATCCACACTCCTTATCTACTCGTTAAATTTGTACTTGTTAGATCCTTGTCAAGACTCGGCGGTACCGTTCATTCCCGACTATTCTTGGTAGTATCGCAGGAGTGTGAGGTTTGCTAATAGTTTCAGGGTGTCTAGCCTGTGAGCCGCAAATGAACCCTGTCACAAAGTTCATAAAAAATAATTTAGCAAACGGAAAGCTCCATTTTAGGCAGGAATAATGTTTACGTTTCCGAAATAATTGAACCTTTAAAAAATGAAACCACTTCCTGGCACGCACAGCATTAATTGCACAACCAGAGAGAGGTTTGCCATGGGCCTTGTGCGATTTTAATTCAGATTTCATCACAGAGAATGTTTTACCAGTTCAATTACCCCTCTCCATTGAAAGTTGAATAAACAATTTATTGAAAATGATTAATAGAATCCCGGGTGGCTTTGGGTACAGCTTCATATTAGAAAAACGTATATGAATAGGGGAACGAATTTGATCCGTGCGGAGGATAGATTAAGTATTTATTTACCGAGAAACACATTTCGTCCCAAATTATTCGTGTAGTAGACCTTCCTATCGTTCTCGGCATTGAGACCAGCGCGTCTGTATTGGGACTTCGATGGGTGAGGGGTTAGTTTACTGGCCTCGGAACCCTTACTGCACGGGTTCGATCTCTGCCGAGGATTTTCGACGGACAGAAAATCCACAGTAGACATGTCATACTTGGATGTAAAAGAACCCTGGCAGATGCCCGGCAAAATTAAATCCGATAACATCCGCCCGAACGAGATCTCACTTTCTCCGAAACAGATAGTTTAGATATAATTAACCGAGACAGACATTGGCGGAGAAAGTGAGAGTCACACCTCAGGTGTATCAGGGGACCTCTCACAAGGTACACCTGCTCGGAAGGTTCCCAGACCCGTTTCGGAGGTAGGCTTTTAAAGAAGTCTGGTTCGAAAACTCAAGAAAAGCAACGGGTAAACTACCCTGAATATATCCTCCCAAGAAAAAAACATCACCTAACAGGAATATGACCAAAGAAAAGACCTCTACTAGTGGCAGCTGTGCTCGATTAACCAGCTGATGCGGAGAGCGCACCCCGCACGGGTAGGGTCGGCATTGTTTGTTATCGGCAGTGATACTCGTAGTATAGGAACGAGCGTTCTCGCGACATAGCGGCACGCTGGTCTCAATGCCGAGAACGATCGGGAGTGAGTGCCTTTGTATCCGACTCTGATAATTATTATAGCCGGACACAAAAGCACTCGCTTCTGATCGTCCTCGGTGTGATTGAAACAAGCTCCCCAAGTTTTCAGATGAGCCTCTGGGTAGTCTGGAGGCTTCACAATCCATTCCAATCGTTGGTAGAGTCCTCCTGTCCACTTGCAGATCACAAGGCGTAGTGAATTAACGAAAAGCTCCAAAGAAGCTGTTAACCACTTCTGAAGGTTGTTTTTGACTTTCATAATGGGTACCATACGTTAGGCGCTCAGCTCTTTATATTAAGAAGAAACCGCCTAACTTTGTCTAACGACGCCGTTGGCTAGCACCTTGTTCCCTCCACATACTAGATCTAGTGAAACGCTTCACATATGTATTTGAAACAGATTTTATGCGATTTACATTAATCAATTTTCAACAGAGAACTACGTTATTGCTCAATTAAGAATCAAATGACACGTCTGCGTAAAGATGTTCATCCATTACAGCGTTTTACACCACGTATATAATTGTTTTTGCTAACATGAACAATTTTATTCTCTGGTGATTTATAAAATCTTAATACAATTTACATACCTCATCAAGGGTCAGTTTATTTAGGACGTCAGTCTCATTAAAACAATGGAAGACTCTTCCGTTTGAGCATGCATGCAGTATTTGCGCATTCCCTTATGTAGGGGTAACGAATAAAATACGAAAGGCTTTTGAGAGTAAATACATTTTCTTCGCGTTTCGAACGCAAGTTAACTACACGTCGTTTCGGGAGCCAAACTTCGCCATTCGTAAATGCTATCTTTAGTTTACTTTTACATGTGACGATTATCATCGGATGATTCAGTCCTCGTCAGAGACACATCACATATGTAATGTACAGACTGAATTTACCAAAATCAGATACTCTTCGTCGTTTGAAAAATAATTAACGTTAAACGTAGGACTGTGCGCTTGTTCTCGTGTAACACGGGCTATGGCAAGTGAGAGAGCGGCTGCACTTCGCGTTGAGGGTCGCCATTTCTCTGGAAAGCTCCGTTATTAATGCTATTCGCCGAGACCCGACAGCGAGCGCAAGACGAATAGCGCGCGGGGGTTAACGCATCACAGTCACTTGGCGTACAATTCACGCAGAGATATTTCGACCTTTCCATTTCCAACTGGTGCAGCATTTGCGCAGTAGACATCCGGGGGGAGGGGATAGGTGGATCGGACGAGAAGGCCCAACGGCCGCCTAGGTCACCACAGTTGAATCTGCAGAACTATTTTTTTTTTCTCGGGGTTAATGAAAGACCGCGTTCATGCTACTGAAGTCGTGGACCGTGATGGCCTTTCGCGCATTGAAAGCGCGGTGGCAGAAATAAAGGGACGACTCGGTAGAGTTGTGCGCGTCACGGAGGCCGAGTGGCACAGATGCCGATCTTGCGTTCACGCGAAACAACCATTGCGCGCATTTTGAACCATTGTAGAGCCGCTGTTACACGAAGTGAAAATGATAGTAAATAATAGTTTCGTTTCCATCATCCCCATTATATTCAATATCTACACGTTCTCAATTACTTTTACAGTACTATAGAAAGATGTACTTATCGGAATGTAATCACAATATGAATAGTTATAACTTAAGTGACTTCCCTTGATTCAATAATTATTTTAGCGATTGTTTCACCAAAATTAGTTTACTAATTTAGTATCGACTCTAAGCATTCCCTTACAAATTTCATCAACTATTTTTAGGTTCAATGTTTATTTTAACGAAGAAAAATTAATAACCTGCAACAATATTCATTTATACACAAAGTGAAGAAAATATGGTCACAGCTTCTTTTGAACTTCCTAAGCAGATCAAGAAGAATTGCTTTTTTTAGCTATCGTTTTTACGTGTTGTAAGAAACTGCGGGTGAAAATTGTATTATTTCATTCATTTAATATTTATACATCATATAGCACCTCTGGGTGGTCTGTGGATTCGCAATCAGTGCAAAACGTGAGCCCTTAGCCCTGTTTGAACAAATATTATACAGCTTTATGTGCCCATCGCATCCAATAGTTTGAGTGAAAATCGCATCTCAGTATCTGCTACTATTCAGGAGATATTTTAAAGGAATATAAGTTTATTACCATTTACGAAACCGCCAGACCGCCAAGAGAGGCTCGTACAAGATGGGGCGTATTAGCAAATTTGGCGAGCGACTTATATTAAAAAAGCTTCTGCGCTCTGCCGGGGAAGACGAGGACTAAAACATATGTATTTGATTTTTCATGTAATGAAAGGTTCAGTAAAACATTTTTTTTTTAAATTTTACATTGTATTTTTTTGTATTTCTTTTGAGAATGTCCATATTCACAGCCGTTTAATTTATTATAATAATAATTATATTATATTATAATAATAATAATTATATTATATTATAATAATAATTATATTATATTATAATAATAATTATATTATATTATTATAATATTATATTATATTATTATTATATTATTTGTACATTACGCAAACATAGTGTGGCTTTGTGGAAGTTTCGGAGCACTGTGCCACGCCGCGCCGGTAGGCGGGTTGGCTGGCTGGTTGGCTCGCCGCCAATGAGAACACTGCCCGCGCGCTTTCTTCGTGCGGACTACGCGGGTGAAACTGAGCAACGGTCAAGGGTCGCGACAGACGCACAAGTCGAGGTACAATTCAAATTTCCCGCGTAAAATGCAAATGCTCAACGACTGTACTTCATCGCAAAATGTAATTTCCAATCGCCTCGCAATATTGATAAGGTTTTTTTTACGTACATTTCCGCCCACCTCACAATTCAACACCTGGACTTGGTCCTACATTGTGAGCATTTGTATGTTAAAAAGTCGATTCATTTATATGATGTGTTTTTATATTCATTTTTGTTTCTCTCTTGAGATCAGAAATTCATTTGTAGCTTATAAATTTTGCCATCCGCGTTTGTCATGTGTTCATCTCGCATTTCTGTTTCGCTTTAATTTGAACTTCAGCTACTTTCAAGACGTAAAAAATATAAGAGAAAACCTAATTACAAACTTTTCAATAACAACAAATCAAACTGTTTAATGATGGTATCTACAGGAATTCGCGATCCTTCAAATTACGTCTTATTCAAGTATAGTAGTTTTCAAGTATAGTTTATGTTCGTAACGGCAGGAAAAAAAACATGATTTTGCTGAACTAAAGGATGAAAGAAGAATAAAAATAATTTGCCATGTAATATCATTTACTTTCATTGATCGTGTTTTTCGGATTAAAATAGTACAGAAATTCTGATTAACAAGAAATGAGCAGTAAAAGGTCAATAGTTCTGTTTCTTTTAATAAGTTTGTCGCTTAGCTACAGAACAAGCTAAGAATGGGTTTTCTGCTTTTAATTTAACATTTTTTTAAATGTATAGTACTATATAATTATTTATATCAAATGTGTTAGAAATTTTTGAAGAATAAACGCAAATCCAATTCCGGATTCACCCAAAAAGTATGTATGTGTAACACTTAATATATTTATCAGGAAGAAATCCAGCAACATTAAGGAAGAAGGAATTTAATCAAAACATTAAATATTTAAATCCATCAAATGTTTCAGATTAGCAAAATATTTGTTTATGATTTTCAATGTAAACTTAGCGTTTTAATGACTGATTTTTTATTGCAATAGTAACATTCAGAAACTGATCTATTGTGATCTACAATCATGTTTTATAACAGGAAATAGTGTTCATAACAAATTTACCCAAGAAAGTGACCGAATTGTCACATAGGAAAAACCAGAACAGAATAACAGACTGCCTTAAATCGCTAAAATATGTTTCACGGTTAGCGGAAGAAACATATCTTAGACGTCTGACTAAACAGAAAGTGTCCCGAGTGAAAGATCTCTCCACAACAGGAACTTTCAAACATCGCTCTTACATTGACACACTTTCAAATCTAAAACGATTGGCAGAATTATTTCCGCATCGACAGCGGGTGTTAATTGATACAATTTAATCTAACATTTGTTAGACGAGACACTATCCACAAAATAATTTCCGTGTATGATAAAACTTTCAGAATGGGTATTTGAAGTTAAGTTTCGACGGCACCAATAAATTAATAAACAATAAAATAAATAAATATAATAAATATCAAATATTCCACTTGAATCCCTCGAAACAAGGCGTCTCTCGAAATATATTTCTTTTCAACTTATCTCTGTTCAATTGACTGTACTGAATTGTCATCTACCTCATTTAATGTTCCCCAACGTTCAAGAAAATTACGTCAACCATTTTATGTATAAAACGCCATAAGACAAATTGTGGAAACAATGACATTGGTAAATTTGTTAATGAATACTATGATAAACTCGATTTTTGCAACTCAAATTATAACTTTAAAAATTGATGAAATCTATTTAGTAACTGCTGTATTATTATGACGTGACAAGCGCTACGTTGTATGTCTTTATATGTTTTTGTATAAAGGGCATATCCCGTTCAATGATGAAATAACAAATAAACAAATTAATAAATAAATAAAGGAAAATAGCTGGCACGTACCTGTCTAAATATGAAGGGCACGTCTTCCGGGTTCTTGAAGGTGGTGTCGACGGGGTCCACGATGTAGAACATCTGCGCGGCTCCCTTGAGCAGGCCGGTGGGCAGGCGGCCGCCGCAGTCTTGTCGCAGCAGCGTCTCATTCATCGCGAAGGCCGTCGGCGACGCGGCGTCCATGGCGGAGGGCGGTGTGCGCGGCGACGCGGCCGCGCCGAATATACCCCGCGCGCGCTCGCGTCCGCGCTCGTCGCGGTCTGCGACGCCGTCTGCGCCTGCGCCGTGAGCGGCCGGCCGGTCGGCTGGCGGGGGCGGGGCGCGGCGCCGCGCGTGGTTCGCGTCGCTGTCAAACGACACGCGGCGAGGCGCGTGGAGATGGCGCTGACAAAACGCGGTCGGGCGCGTCGAACGAACAGGTAGTTGGATGCTGCACCGCTGTTCAGGCGGCTAGGTGACACGTGGAATCTGGAGGGTCGCTGATTAAACGTTCAGCCACGTGAATGTAGATCACCGTGGAATGTAGAATGTAGATCGTTGTCCGCTCCCGGCGCTGGAATGCGACACGAATGTTTCCAGACGGGAAGCATAGAGTCTCTATCAAGTGACGCAATCGAAACGGACAGACACCTGTACGGGTGACAGGCGAAGGGACGTTTGAATCGAACGAAAGCGTGACGTCTAGTTTGTCCCGAGTGCGTGAACGAAGACGTAGATGAAGAAACTTGTAATAAACGGGAAGCCAATCGTCTCAAGACGGGCTCCTTCAACCGGTTAGAAGCACTGCAACTCTCTCCAAGTGTCGCCCGTCCCTGGCGGGAGGCTGGAGGCGAGGGCGCCGGTCGTTCGTTCGCGGAGCGCGCGCACCCAAGCGTCGTTCTCGGCGCGGTCGAGCGGATGCGCGCCGCTACGGCCGCGCTCTATATATACACACACTGGCCTCGCTCGAAAACACGGCGCCGCCCCGCGCCGCGCGCCCAAGGCGGCGGCGGCGGCGGCGGGCGGGCGGCGGCGGCGGCGTGCGGGGCGGGCGGCGGTGGCGCGTGGCGCGGCGTGCTGCGCTGGGCTGGCTTACGCCGCCTCGCCGCCTCCGCGCGCAGCCACTCCACTCCAGCGGCGAAGCTCCTTCTTTTTGCTCAAACCGGCTCGCGAACGCGCGGCTCGCACGTGAGTTGGGCGAAGTCTTGCCGTTGGCTCGTTCGAACGCGTGCAGAGGGGCGTACTCGTAAATACTCCAGCACTGCAACGTTATGTCAGGGAACAGAAAAGTCTCGAAATCAGTGCAGTAAACATCTAAAAAAATCAGTATCGCAAGTGTGATCCAGCAGCAGAACGCCCCTAATCTCGTGGGTCTGAATAATCGCAAGGGGGGGGGGGTCATTTTTTTTCCATTTCTGTTCAAGTTTGCAGCACACGGTTAATTTGCGTTCATTCTCTTGTTGGCAGAAAACGTTCAGGCCAGACGCAATGTTGTACCACAAACTGATGATGGCACTAAACACTTAAAGAACATTTCACCAGCAGTACCGTTTATCCTGGGAGCTGTTTTTGATCAAACGTCACTTGATCGCCCTATGGAAATATAGAGCCCTACGTTACGCACACTTCTTCCACGTCACGACAGTCTCCAAAAAAGAAAGAAACTAGATGTAACTGTAGAAAGTTTCCGAAACGAAAGAAGTAGAGCGTGCCATTTGAGCTTCGCCCTAATGCTCTTAAGAGTCCACCAAAGCTTGTGCTTGTTTAGAACGGAAAGGACTCATACAATTGAGTGAAGAGTTTCTCCCACTATTTTCATGCAGATAAACTATAACCTTGGGCACTTATCACTCAGTAAGGATGTTGTTATATTTAAGATTGGCAAGGTCTGGTGTGTGACCTCTGCATCGATCATTCTTCGGCTTGTGCTAGTCTCTTCAGCCTGTGTATAGGGGTATTTAACCTGAAAACAGCAATCATCGTCCCGCATTTTTTCCAAGAAAATGTGAACCCTGGAGTGATTAATTTTCACATTTCAGCCACTACTGCAATAGTTACTCGTCAAAGAAAAGTGTCAATGATGGCTCGTGACCTCAATGTTGGTGGAATAGTAACAACAATGGTAACCTCTGGGGTGACCCAGAGGGCTTCACGAAAACAACTCAGCACCAAAAAGCCATTGGCCATACTCATGGTGTCAGGTTTTGTAGACGGAGACATTTTCGTCGTTCCCTCATCGCTTTCGAATTTTTTGAGAAGCACTATCTTCGAGAGTAGGATTCATCGCTAGATATGACTACCACAATCATGCAGTATACATTAAAAGATATGTCGAATAAGCTATAAAGTCCTTACTTTATCATAATGCCAGCTTTATGGCAGTGCCTGGATGGAATGAATGATTTTGTTTGGTAAATGCATTTGAAGACCTTATGTAAATGATGCTAGGGCAATAGGAGAATGACTGGTAAGGGAAAAAATCTGCCTTTGCACACCACAAATTACATTTGGAAAAAATTTCCAAAAATTCCATTTTCATGTTGTTGTTTTTTTAAACTATAGACATTGTGGGGTATTTGCCGGATCCGTCGCTGTTGTACACAACATGGGTATGGGTCAAGTACATATTATAGGAGGGGGTCTTCAACCTCTCGCATCAGGTTGGATCACATTAAAAACAAATCAATGAAATCCATGGTCCTCTCTATTAATATACTGAATTTGGATGCGAAAGATGACCTTCAGATTAACAAGGCACGCCGAGAAATTGATTTTTTTCTTATAATTCAATGAAAACGGATACTATATTACTCCAGCAATCAGATACTAATATAAATCCTAACAAACAAATAATAAATCGTACAAATAATATAATCATGATTTTCACGTGCGTGTGCGCATGTACTCGCATGCTCACACAAGCACGCTCATATATACATGCACAGACTGTCAGTTTGTAAATGTCGGTTTGTTCTGAAATTTTATACACCCTTTTTAAATGATCAAGCTAAAATATCAGGGCCTGAATTATACTCATAGCGCGGAAGACTCGAAGAACTGCATTTGAATGGAATCATGTCGTGTCCGTGATGCATTGAGAAACGCCTCACGAGAAGTTGTGAGTGATCTTCAAGAGGTATTTTAAGAACTCTACCGTTTACACTGGCGTCTAGAATGAGTTATTGCTGACAAGGGCGTTTATGACGCAAGCTCCGTATTACTTCGTCACTTCGGTCTAAACAGGTACTGCAGCTCCTACTGATGCGTCTCGTACTTACAGTGACACCACTGCAACGAATATTGAAGCACACACCGGAGGAATCTCTGAACGGCATCGTTGCAGGAATAATCAGGTCCTCAATTTCATGAGACTTTTTCCGATGTATGTGGTAATAATACATACTATAGTGTGATACATTAAGAAAATAGTTCTGTATACAAGAGAAGACTGCAAACTTTCTCATACACTACAAACTATTTATTTCGCTAAATTAATAAAGGAGTCACATAAACAAGGGGTGAAGTGTAAATGTAAACCAAAGTGCTTAAGTGTGATTTAAACGATTTAAAACGTTATTTGAAATAGAAAAAAATTAAATAGTTAACAAACATTCAATGAGTAATAAAATATGAAGTAAAAAATTCATTGATAATAATTGAATACATGAAATATACCTATGTAACAACCTTCTAAAAACCTCCAGTAAGGAGTACATCTTCTGCCGACCCGAATAACCTTGTAAACAAAATAAATCATATTGAATTCGAGTCTTGTTCAGATTACTGAAGTTGAAATTACCACAGTTTTCATTTAGTAGGTTTACACCCCTCTAATCTAATGTGGAAGTCGAGATTCGCCTGAAAACTAACTTTGGCCATATATGAAGCCATTCTGATGATTGACGACGATGGTAACACCATTGAACTAATTCAACTAATGATTATGAAATGAAATAAGTTTTGTACATTGAGTATAATCTTTGCGATATAAACCTCGATAGCCTATACGATGTCACATCAGTATATCAGTACTCGAGAGTTGTTTACTCAGGTGAAGTGTAACATGTAGTATCACACGATGTAAATATGCCACACAACACAAAAGATGCTCTCTTATCTCTGAGATAACGCTTCAGTCGTATAATCATTTAATTCTCTCAGGAAATAAAGAAAAAGAAATGTGTTTACAAATCTTACAAAAATGACTCGGTGAAGAGGCCGTTGCGATAATACAATAGTATTTTATTTTCTTTAATTACATCGAGTTTGTGTTTTAGATTATTTTACTGATTAATATTTTGTCAAAATTTCAAATTATTGCTGTTTTATTTATAGAATATCGAACTATAACTACTCAATATTCTGACATTAACACATTATTTTTATGTAGAGTTGACAGTCCGCCAACTGCTCCAACCACCTATTATAACAGACTCCTTGTCCTATGTCGCCGTTTCATATATCAGATCATAATTACTGAGACATTACACTGCTGAAATAACATTACTTCCAATCTAATATTCATGGATTAAAACTCTTTTCGATCCAGTCTGCCTGGCCGTTACTTGGCACTTACGCCACGGAATGAAATGATCTTGTTTATATAATGCATTTTGCAGCATTATAAAATGGCTGAATAAATGAATGAATGACCGACAAAAATGTTATCCACGCCAGAGTTCTCCTGATTACGACTGTCACTTTTCAAAGCGTTCTATGACTAACAGTAATACCACGGCTTTCTAAGTTATCTCAACAAGTCAATGTTAATCAAACGCACAAAATGGACAGTAAATGGTCACTCGAGATACAGATTGACCGAGGGAGTACAGAAGTCAAAACGAATATGAGAAAAATATTAGAGGAAAGAAAGAAGGAAAAGTAAAGATAAAGTAGACTGGAGAGAAAAAAGAGAAAGAAGAAGGGAGAATGCACGAAGTAAATGAAGGAAGACGACGGAAGAAAGGGCACGGGAAAAGTGGGAAATTGAGAAAGAGAAGAGAGAGAACATGAAGATAAAAAAGGAAGATAGCGAGGGAAAATGAAGAGAAAGAGTTTGAACTTACAATGAAGAGCGAGTGATCAAAGGTAGGTAATATCATTTCCAGGAAACCGGGAGTGTAAGAAGACAGTAATGTTTTGATTGCAAAGTGCAAATTGTCATTTAGGCATTTTATAATTTATCTTAGTTCTTGGTTCATAAATTGAAACATTACAGAGATTTTCAAGTTACAATATAACACCAAATTGTGTTTTTGATTTGACGTAAGGTTTTTTGGCCGTACAATTTCCTATTTAAGCATCTAAATTAATTAGGCTCTTATATACGCGAAAATTGGATGTATAATGCACTACATTGAAAGTATAAATATTTTATATAATTATAGATAATTTTTTACATTAATTTTATTTTACTGCTTATTGTTTCAATAAAATGATGAACATGAGCATCTAAAAGGAATACAGAAATGTAAATAATATTTATACTTCATCATTAGTACTGGGTGAATATTTTAATGTTTGAATGGAAGACATTGCATAAATGTCTCCAATTTGGGAATTTTAATTAATATAGTTTCCAGTTTCAGTCCGAAAGCGTTTTTCGAACACGCCTTACTTCGTGTGCTTGCGTAGTAAAAAGAAAGTATTGTTAAACTATGGCGGAAAGCGGGGATTTTTCGATAGATAAACTCGTATTGTCTTGGTAATAAAAAAGAGAATAAATCTTGTTCCTGTACGATGTATGGAAAGAAGAAGAAGTTAAGTACTTCCTCCAACACTTGTGTCATTAGAATCCACGCTTTTTGAGTTCTTGATACTGAAACATCTATTGACAGGAAAACGTCTGTCTGTCCGTCCGCGGTCAACAATTTCTCTAAAAATATGATATTCTCCGGTCGGATCAAGCGATCTGGAGGCCCTGCGAGTTTGAAACGAATGTCCATTTTAGGGCTCCTAATTGTATGTTATTTTTTCTATCTCGCTATCGCAGTAGAGAAAGAGTTATGTAATGTTGGCGAAAAAACGGCGAATTTTCGGCAGAAAAATTCTTCTTATAGGTCCCTAGTAACGAAAATGTGAATAAATCAGTTGCTAAATTTAGAAAAAATCCTCTAACAAGTGGGGTAGCCAAAATCCATGTTATGTGGGTCCTTGATACCGAAAAGTAGATTGACGGCAAAACGTATGTCTGTCCGGCCGCCTGTCCGTCTGTGAACACATCTAGCGGCTAAACTGTTCAGCCAATTATCTCCAAAATTGATATTACCCAATCGAAGTGGCTGATGTCGCATCCCCTTGAATTTAAAACCTATATTTTAATTTTGGGAGGTACTGTACATGAAGCCTCATTGAAATTTTCAATTTAAAAAAAATGTGCCATCGATTTGGATGAAATCGTACTGTAGGATAGTTTTAAGAACATTTAAGAAAATGGTACAGGTCTCATGTTGGTTAAAAACACTAATTTTTCGAAAATTACAAAATTTCAATTTTTTTCGGCGTCTTGCTACAACTACACTTATGAAGAGACACTTTTTTCTTAATAAAATGTGTTCACCAAAACAGATATTCAAATAAGGTCATGTTGCATTTTACGACAATAGGAGTATTTTTGGATTAATCTGACGTCAAACGTACACGCCAGCTCCTTATTTTCTGCGCTTCGTGAACGAAATTTTAGAAGTTTTTTGAAGCAGTTGGATGCTACGTAAGTTAGAATTTGTATATTATTTAATATTTCGTTGTTCGTTTTTTCTTCGAGCTTTTGTTATAAATTTTAAAATGAAACTTTTAGTAAATATTTAAAACCTATTTTTTGTAAATTGCGTCCTTTAATTGAATTAAATGTGAAAACGAATTGATGATTTCGCTTTGCTTAATAAGATGTGGTAATGAAAAGTAATGTATGTAAAAAACGAGAAATTTTGATTAATATCAAAATATTATATTTTTCTATCCATTTTAATTTTCTCGCTAACGATATCAACTATGCTAATTGACAAAAAGTGTATCATATACAAATTAGCGGTCATTGTTGCTTGTAACCCATTGTTGTAATGCCTCACTGATAACAAGGTGATAACAACTGATGTCTTTTCGTTAATATAAACAAATAATTTTATGTACTTCTAAAATACGTATCGTGCATTGTTGGTACGTTTATGTAGAACGTAAATACACAGCATTCAAAGGCAGAAAGTTGTTTTCGTCAAGGCAATTGAATTTTTTAAAAAAATGCATTTTTTCGCACGCTTTGTTGTTTAAGAATTTTTCTAATTGTTGTTGAAGTGACAAATTGTCATATTATAATATTACATAGTCATTAACAATATCGCGAGATAGTTGGTGCTGTTGTAGCACCATTAGTTTCTTGTATAAAGCAAAAAAGGCTGGTCCCGATTTCTGCGGAACTGTATTTTAAAAAATTGCAAAAAGGTAACATTAAAAAAGTATAATATTGATGATACATATTTTTTCTTAAATGCAATCTGTTTAAAAAAAATTAGATCTTTAAAAAAAGTCATGTACAATGTTTTGAAAAAAAGAGTCGTTTTCGCGTATTTCAGCTTGAAGTTAATGTAATTTATAAAATATTCTGGAAAACGGCTCCAAGTTTCTTAAACTTTTCCCTCGGTTAGGAAAAAGTACGCTTAAAAATGGTGCACGTCTTACTTTCGTTGATCTGTTTGAATTTTTGAAAATGCAAACGTTACAAATAATTTGACAAAGAATCTGCTGTTGTAGCACCTGTAGTTTTTTAATATTTTTTTTTTTTTACTGGATGACTAGGCATTTTTTATCTTAACGGTGAAACAAGCATATTTAGACACTGTTAATGTTGCTCGTCGACATCACACAACTCATGAAACGCTTTGAAAATTAATTCCCCGTGTCTTCGCCAGAGGGTTAAAAAAGGGCGTTTGCCTGAAAATGCGAAGTCTATTTACGAGCAAGTGCTCGCCGCAGTGACAGATAGAGAGAGAGAGAGTCACGCGCGCTCGGCCGGAGGGAGAAAGGCGAGGGCAGGCGCTCGTGGAATGGAGTGCGATAACTGGGCGAGGCTATCGCTTGTGAATCGCGCTCGTTGCGCAACGCGCCACCAGCCGAGCCCTGGCGGCCGAGCAGGCCGGCCGGCGCGGCGCGGCGCGCGACGCTGGAAGGTCGTGAAAGGCGACCTCCTGCCGCGCCGCTTCGCACAGCCATGCCACAACAAACAGAGCCTCCCCCCTCTCCCCACACCCACCACACACCTCGTATCGGCCGGCGGCGGATGGTTTTCTGAGGCCTGGAAATGGAGTAAGAAGAGACAAATGGATAAAGTATAATACAAATA